AGCCACAGTGATCAAGACACTATGGTATTGGTGAAGTGTTGACAAAGAGATCAATGGAACAGAACAGAGGACCCAAAAATATATCAACAGACCCCAAAATATAAATAGAGTAACCTGATCTTTGCCACGGGAGCAAAGACCATAAAATGGAGAAAATATAGCCCTTTCAACAAATGGTATGGGAACAACTGGACATCCACATGCAAAAAATGGATCTTTATAAAGGGCGCCTGGGTGGCTCAGTCGGTTGAGCGTCTGCCTTCGGCTCAAGTCATGATCCCAGGGTCCTGGGATCAAGCCCCGGGATCGGGCTCCCTGCTCAGCAGGGGGTCTGCTTTGCCCTCCGCCCCTGCCCCCGGCTAGAGCACTCTCTCTCTTTCTCAAAAATAAATAAAGTCTTTAAAAAATGGATCTAGATACAAACCTTATACCCTTCGAAAAAACGAACCCCAAATGGATCTCACAGACCTAAGTGCAAAATGCAAAATAAAACTCCTAGAAGATATAGAGGAGAAAATCTACATAATCTTGGGTTGGGCGATGACTTTTTACATATGACACCAAAGGCATAATCCATGAAGGAAAGAATTTATAAGCTGGAAGTCATTAAAATAAAAAAATTCTGCTCTGTAAAAGACACTGTCAAGAGAATAAAAAGACAAGCCACAGATGGAAGAAAATATTTGCAAAAGAGACATCTGATAAAGGACTGCTATCCAAAACAAACAAACAACTTTTAAACTCAACAATAAGGAAACAAACTACCCGGTTAACAAGTGGGCGAAGACCTTAACAGATTCCTCACCAAAGAAGACACACACACACATGAAAGCATGCTCCATGTGATATGCTATCAGGGAAATGCAAATTTAAACAACAATGACAGACCACTGCCCACCTATTGGAATGGACAAAATCCATTAACGTACTGACGACATCAAATGCCGGTGAGGATGTGGGGCAGCAGGAACTCTCACTCAAGGCTGGGGGACATGCAGCAGGGTGCAGCCACTTTGGAAACAATTTGGCGGTTTCTTGCAAAACTAAACCTACTTTTACCATAAAATACAGCCCTTGCACCTCTTACTGTTTACCCAAATGACTTGCAAATGTAGGCCCACACGGACATTTAGCGCAGCTTTATTTACAGCTGCCAAAACCTAGACGCAACCAAGATGTAAGTGAACGGATAAACTGTGGTTCCTTCCAGACAACAGAATGCTCTTCAGCGCTGAAAAGAAACGACCTCTCAGGCCATGAAGAGACATGAGGAACCTTAAGTGAAGGAGGCCAACGTGAACAGGCTACACACTGTATGATTCAACGACGTGGTGGAAAAGGCAAAACTACGGAGACAGTACAAAGATGGGGGCTGAGGGAGGGCTGAACAGGTGCAGCAGTGGATTTTTAGGGCCGTGAACTACTCTGTGTGAGGCTGTCCCCACACGCCCACAGAGCGCACACCACCTGCGTCACTCTGAGGTATAAGGACTTCGGGGGTGACGACCGTCCGTGCAGGTTCTCCTACTATACCGAACGCACACCGGGCGGGGTCGTCAGTACTGGGAAAGGCTGTGCAGGGCAGGTGGAGGGGGGCAGCAGGTATACGGGAAATCTCCGTGTTCTTCTCAGTTCTGCTGTGAACCTAAAACGGCTCTAAAATACAGTCTGTTAAAAAAATTGAGTAAGTAGTGGAAAAGCCATCTGTGATACAGCTGAGGAGACGTGACGACTAGCGGCTGGGTGGACTGTGGTGCGAGGCCTTTCCCACCTGTGAGGATCACACGCCACCGCTCAGCAGTGGCCACAGATAAAAGTAGTAGACATTCCAGATCTATAAAATGGAATAACCAAACTTGAGAACTCAACGCACAGGTTTAGCAGCAGATTAGACACTAAAAGCAGAATGTGAACTCTGATAAAAACATGTATATCAAGTTCAAGGACTTACAGGAATATGGGAAATACAGACAAAAGGGGTAAGACCGGGGCACCTGGGTGGCTCAGTCGTTAAGCGTCTGCCTTCGGCTCAGGTCATGATCCCAGGGTCCTGGGATCAAGCCCCGCATCAGGCTCCCTGCT